TATATATATATATAATATATACATATTATTATACATATATAGGTGAATTGATGACTTTATAGCATCCTTTACATTTGAGGAAGGTCTTAGAGGGCAGTTTTTATGACCACAATTCATTAAGAATTAAATTTGGGTGGTTATTGTTTTAGCCTTTTAGCATTTGCTATATAGGTATCTTATTATTCACGAGAATCATAAATTAAATTAAAACAGTATCTTAATTCTGTGTGTAATGTTTTTATACGATTTATGCAATAAACATTATTTTTGGAGGCCGTAAGATAATATTTATAATTGCAGTGTTCTATCTTAGGATTTAAGCAGCATAAGTGTAATTTAAGAATAATTTTTGTAATCACTCATAACCTGACTATACCATACCCCATTACTCCAATGGCCTGATTATTCTTCTAATTTGTATTTTATAATTGATAATACCTATGATAAATAGAGTTGTACCCAATTTAGGAACGTCGAACTACTGAAGATTAGAATTAAATTTCAAATGCAATGAATGTGTACCTATGATATTACATGATATTTTATTAATCATTATTTTATGATATTCGTTATTTTTGTTTTATATTATTTCGACATAATACAAAACCTAAAAGTTCTTTTATTGAATAACCATCATCGAATGGTAATATAACTAATAATTAGTATTTTATTAAGAAAACGACGTTCGGTGGGAATTGTGAAAGAATATAAGATATTTCCATAAAACTTGTGGATTGCATGACAATGTACCTTGTTGGAATTATTTATAACTCGTTGAATTACAGTATAATTTAATCGAATGTTTGTTGTTTAAAATGGTTATATTATATACGAGTACAATGTATTGTGTTGGAAATATTGAGTTTACTCATAAAGTTTAGACTCTATAGAATATAATAGTTAAATTAATAATAATAATAATAATTTATTTCTTGCAAACAACAAAATATAAAAGAAAGAAATTATTAATATAATTATTAAAACGAAAATAAAATTGTATACAAGTTCGATTACCGTTCGGCATCTAATCAATGAATTGAACTATAATTTCTTTTTTTTCCTAATTAGTGTGTTTAAATGTATTTAATTAACCAGTAATCCGAGATCAAAAACAATAGAGATGGATATTTTTATTTTTATTTAATTTCTCGATTTTATGTATAGTGGTTGCCATCGATAACAATTTTGGTCCACTGAGAGAATCATATTATTGAATGATTTGCTTTCCCCGTGAGAACCTAAAAGTATTGTGCATTTAAAAATTTAAATAAAATTGAGTTACAAATGTCGGTATACTTAAAGCAAAAATGTATTTGTTAAGGCCAATGTTAGTTGTATATATAACAATGTTGTATTTTTTTCACAAACTTATTTTGGACAAACTTATTTGCCGTGATTGTTTGATTTGAATTCGATAAATTGTGGTTAGTGTAAACTCTAAATGAAAATTAAATTGAAACCTTATATTTACGAATAAAATAAATAAATGAATGGCAGATAACGGTAGATTGCTGAATACTATGACTAAAGTCTGTAGCAATTCAGCAATAGTTGTAACTTCAATAACATAATTTTAATTATTTTTATTTATTAACTACCCATTTATTTTGCGAAGATAAACAACATGATAAATCGTTTACAATAATATTGAAATGTTAGTTTTTTTTTTTTATAGTAAAATGCAATTGTCTAATTATCAAAGGGCAACAACGAATATAGAACTATATCTATAACATACCGAAATCATAAGGTGTCGTACTAACAGACATTTAGAATAAAATGGTTGTCGTTATAAACAGTGTTTATATTAAGTATTCATTTTTTAATTTTTTACTAATTTATCTTTTGGAGTCGGTAGGTTTATAGATCAATTTTTATGTTTAAAATATGCATTGATAAGAACTAGTGTAGCAGTTAGAAAATTAACAGAAAATATTTACCTTATTATCGATAATGTTCAATTTCGTGTCGGAGTCAAGTTAGGTTAGGTATCATTATTGTATTGTATCATAGGTTATAAGGTCTCGCATAGTTCCATGTTATCAACAAATGGAGGCAGATAGCTTAAATTTTACTAAGAAAATTTTTGAAGAGCTTCTTCGTCGGTTCGTAGATTATTTGGTAGCCGAAAAGGCCACATATAACTAAGATCTCTTGGATAGCGGTTTATTCGTGGCTATATTACCGATTCAACTATTAAGTCTATTTATTAACAATATTTACTAGTTTAAAATAGTTTTAAAATTAAAATTCAGAAAACATAATTTGTTTACTTAATGAATCTTTTAGTGTAAAGTGTATGATTGATATTTTTTATTTAACGGACAATCAGTCCAACGTACAAAGCAATTATAAAATATTTTAATAATTTCAAACCTATAATCACATTATTTTTAAATTTAATAGAATTGTACGTAAGTATAAATATTTTCAATATATTCATATAAACATGAATATTAAAAATGCGTTTGAAGTAATTAGCGACAGATATTAAACAATCTTGTATCTTCTTATAAGAATCTAATGTTTGAAAGTTCAAAAAGCCTTGTATTGTAACCATTTGGATCGTTTTTAATACGCTATAACCTAAAGGTTGCTAAATTAAAAAAAAATAGAAAAAAAAGGGAACTGTTATATAGGTACTCACGAGACTTGGCACACATATAAATACCAAGATAAGCATTTAATATAAATTGTACTTATGTGTTCAGAGGTCAGATAGGTAACAAACAAAAACTTACATACCAATAGGTCATTGATGCATTTATTTATAGACATTTTAACAAACTAAAATTGATTTCAGTCCACTATGTTTAATCAGTGCCATTCACAGGTATATTGTAATTATTGTAGTATTGCAGCAAATTTAATGTATACAATTTATTTGTATATGACAAATTGTGAGCGTAATGATTACACATTAGAAAATCAAAGCTATAATGAATTAAGTCTTGGAAAGCAAGAATACAGAAAATCCTAATAAATATTATTTTATGAGAATATTAAAATAAAATTCAAGACAAAATAAGAACACCCTACTTATAGAAGTGTATTTTTAATTATTATTTTATATTATATAAGAAATATTCTGTTTCCATCGTATCAATTTAAATCAATACAAGAATTAGAAAAACAAAATAAATTAAGTAAAAATATAATAAATAATTTACCTTGTGGCCAGAGCTGGTGTGTTTGGTGTGCTTAACTGAAGGAGCTACGTCTGCGGGCCTAGGCTGTCCCATCACCAATAGTCTGGTCTCTTCGACGTTAGCACTAAAGGACCTCGTTAAGCATTTGTTGCCGCTCCTATCTGTCTTTCTGGTCCTGCCCATCGACCCCGTCTCCGTTTTATTCCATCCCATCCTCTGTCTATCCACCAGCGGCACGATCTTTCGCAGCCCTTGATTCATCGCAAAGTAAGAAGGGTTGTCTACAATGATAAACAGTTATAAGGTTATCTTTTTTTCCACATCGAGCTACAATACTCGTTGATTATTTTTCACACGCCCTTTTTTGGGGATTGTATTTTTTATTTTTTCGGTACATGTTTAAAATACTAATTTTTTTATTTTATTTTATATACACATTCACGTTCATATGTACCTAATATACATAGTACATACATATTTACATTTTATATTTTTACATTTTCTTCGTAAACAATAGTATATTCACATAAAGCAGACGCTGTCCAGATTGAATCTTTCTCTTTAGGGTTATCATTTTTCGGTAGGCTGGTAACCGTCCGCGTGCACGCTGTTCGTAAACGATTTACACATGGCAACAGTCGTTGGCCGTGTGCACTCCTATCCCCACCTATCAGCTTGGGTCATAAAAAGACCGACCTTCTGGGCCCTATTGTACAAACACGCGGTCGTGTCTTTTGACTTGCCGCCGTCACAGACAGGAAACCGGACCCCGTAGCCAGACATCTTGACGGAATATTTAGGTGAAATACGAATATCAAGAAATAATAATCCGTTGAACGCGGCGAATATCTTACAATGCGTTTTGCTAAAATCGACGAACGAAATGCATGTACGTTATCCAGTTTTAAAAGATAAAATAAAACAAATATTAAGAAAATTTGAATATGCATAAGTAAATGTGTGTATTTTTTATCTTCTAACTACAACGCGTGTATTGCATCATGTAAAGTGCGTATAAATAATAGACGGTGTGCAGGGTTACGAAGTAAAACGATTTGATTTTTGTTTTAAACATATTTTTAATAACTAAAGAAAAAATGGATTTTCATTAGTTTGTCTCAAATTTATTATACTTTATTTTAAATATTTTTTCCGTTTTTGTTTATTATATGATATTTATATACATTAACTATTTTAAAAAATATAATATAATTAGGCAAGTAACATGCAAATAGTGTACATTTATAGTATAAATATTTTATAATTTAACTATGAATACTTCTGATCCAATAGAAATTAGTTATATAATTGATTTTGAAAAGCTTATTAAAAATTTAACTAATATATTGATATATCAATCAGTAATCACTTATTGTGTAAAATGCTTACGAAATATCGTCATTAACATATACAAATTATCATAATAACTATAGCTGTAAATTACATTTTAATAAAATGGATAGGTTTGTTCATTTGTCTTAATTAAGCATTTAAAAGGAATATAAATGGTAAACAAAGACTACAAATTAGAATGTATTAATTTATTATATTTAATCGTACAATAATAATAATACGTAACACATTAAGACCCTGATTGTGATCAAATTGAGTTAAGCGTAAACCATTTAATATATATATACTTACGAATATTAGGTATAATTGAAATAACAATAATATAAAATTTATAGAAGTATATTTTGTAACAATAGCTGCAGGGTTGTCGAACGACAGAATGCCATGTCTAGTAGCTCTCGTATCATCCGTATTAAATAATCGTAACCACGAACGGTCAGAAAACATGTATAACACGTAAAATAATAATAATATTGTAATGTATTGGTTGTATTGTAATATATGTCCGTTGTTTTTATTTTATTAATAATACGGACGATTGGAACGATTCCTGTGACAGGACAACGGCGGCGGATGTAACGCGTCGAGATCAGTTATTGTTGCCGGAATCTACGATGATTAAAAATGTATCCATGCGTTTTAAAAAGAAAACGTTATAGAAATATATTATCATATCATGTGTACACATAAGACCCAGTGTAATCGATAAGTATTTCTAGTCACGGGGATGTTTTATATGCAGGAAGGGCGATTTAATGGGCATTGTGTGTACTCCCATATGCGCGTGTGTGCGCATACAGTGTGGTCTTCGTGTTTACTATGCATACGAGTGCATAATACAAGTAGTATAAGTTATTGAATATCACATAGTATATAGGTATATAGTAAAACCCTTTCGATCACTTACCCATGGCCGTATCCATTGTGCCGCCAATATATTTCGAAAATCTATAAATAAAATAATAAAAATGTATTTAATAAAACAGCAATAAAATTAAATTAAATTAATTACAATATATATATATATTTATTTTTTTACATCATATATTATATTTATATGTATAATAAATATTGACATTGGTTAGATATTTTATAGAACTGGACAATCGCTTTCAATCGTGCAAAATTTCGTTTTCTTAGGAACATACACGTTGTATTAAATTCAAAATGTTTAATGTTTTTCTATCGGTATAACCTTACATTGAAACTAGTGAAAGTCTAAAAAATTAACAATAATGATAACAACTCCGAGACCGCAATAATTTATAAAATCTATAATTATTTAAATTGAATTAAAAAAAAAAATATTTTGTTGTATTCAACAAAAAAATAACAAAGTTTTAAACGATTTAATAGAAGAAAAATTATAAAAAAATTCTAAGGAAGATGTATAAGATATTTCCATATGGTTGAAATTGAAAGAATTTAATTCGGAGGAAGAATTTATTTTTTGCTCATTTAAAAATAATCAAATAATACGTGTTGGAAATTCAGGATATTATACAACCATTTTTATTTGTAAAAAAAATAAACTAATTTATTGCACAAACTGTAAAGTTTTATGTTTACTTTAGGTTAAAATAGTTTATAATAATTGTAATATAATTCCATATAAGAAATCAATATTATATAAAAGACATTCCATTAAAAAAAAACGAAAAAGTCTCATTTTTATGTATAGTATGAATGCAGAAAAATATTCCGTAAAATTAATTAAATAAGTATATGGTGGACAGTTCTCTAGCACTGTTAACCGAAAATATATTACACAAATCACTCGATAAAATTAAAAACTGTTATATATTACAATGAACGTAATACGCAGTTACTGTAGTACATAATTATTTATTATTTACTCGTTATTTACTTGTTACTTTCTGTTGTAATACATTTCTATGATTATAATTGAATGGTATAATAATACACAGAAGTAAAAAAAAGGCTAAGTATCAAAAGTTTAAAAATATAAACGTAATTTATGAAACTTAACTTTAAAAAACTTTTCAGAAATAATTAGCCATTCAATTTAGATAATTTGTATTTTAATTAATAATATAGTTATATGAAATAGTAAATAATATTTTAGTATTATAATTTATAGTAGTACTAATAATAAAGTTTCAGTAAGATGAAACATTATGTACATTTTGATTAAAACGACATTAAGAATGTTTATGTGCACATTATTTTATATCCTCTCAACCGACCGTTGCCAGAAAACTAATGGATAATGTTCGGTCATGTGTTCGGATTCGAGGAATTCAGGCTCAACGACTTTCGTATTAGAACACATGTGTTTATATGTACCTTATCATAAACTGTTATTGTGTTCGCGCTAGATCAATCGATCTATGAACATCATTAGATCTTGAATGATCGATATATATTTTTTATCGAGAGTTTGAAAGAGATATTTTGAATAAACTTTAAATGACCTTTAATCGATTAGATGTTATATACCTATGACTTTAACGGAAATATTATAGTTATAGTAATCGGACTCACGTTATTTATGTATAATATATCAATGTACAGAAATATTTTAAGTTAAACCTGAACAAATATTATTTGTTTTGATTGTAGACACTTTAATATCTTAACAGTTAAATTTATAATTATCTTTTTTGGGTGCAGTTTAAAATAAAAATTGGACCAAAATAATTACCGTATCAGGTCTATATTATACTCAATGACACATTCAATTGTTTTTAAAAATAAAATTTCAAAATATTCACGAACTGAAAAAGATTTTCATTCAATACGAATCAGAACTGAATATTTTAACTCATACGTTACATAAAATTAATAATTAATTAAAAAAATAAAATGTACAAATGCCAATAAGAAATATATTCAATAATTATTGCATCGATTGTAAAACTAAGGTTATTAGGTAACATTGCTTTAATTAATGGTTATAGTGTCATTTAAAGAATATCATAAATATTATACGTAATTATCTATTTTTTTTATTTTTATTACATTCAAGTGAATCGTAATTGAATATTGTTTCCACCAAAAAACTCGAAAAAACAATTTGATTGCATCTTTAGTAAATCAGATTTAAGTGTTTAAACTATTATTCGGCTTCTCGATAAAAATAAAAAATAACAAATTATGATAAAGTTCATTATCTCTTGAATTATAACTAAAATATTTTCATTTATTAATGTATGTGCGTCGCGTTGTTTAAGTGTGAGTTATCGAATGATTTCCATACAAACGTTTAGGTGCGTACCCACACGCGTTCACCAAACGCACATATGTACGATGTATGCGTGCACTGTATAGTGGTGATTGCAGACGACTTAATTCTATTTCACTTACGAGAACGTGTGTGTTGTTAATTTACGGTCAATAATTTTACTGCAACAGATATATGGACCGTATTAACGATAAATGAGCAGCATCGTAGTTTAATAACACAAAATTAAAACGTTTAGAGTCCATTGTGGTGCAGTAGTTCTGCGCGCGGGTTACGACTGGACGACTATTCTAGTTGTTATAATAATAATCCAGTGCGGAGGATGTACACACACATATGATTTTATCGACATCGTAGGGGTCGAGAGGTCGCGCCAAACAAATCGTACACCCAGATAAACAAACAAGTTGCAGCACATCAAAGCGTTCACAGATTTAACGAGTGCGGATTATCAATACTACACGGACTCGTATTGTTACTCGCACGTTTTTGATATTATTACGAAACGAATGATAATTTTATCTAATACGAAATTTATCGACGATATCAAAAGCGCAAACGGTTATGATGTCATCGGACGTGAAACGTTTAATAGTTTTGTCCCGAAAACCGATTGTGTCGAAATGTAAGCAAAGATAATTCAAACGAATTCTACTCGATAATATTATATTATACGATCATCGTAGCACGATGGCACGTTTCGCGCGGTTTAATCCGACGTTTTGAAAATCCCGTCGATCGATCAATGCCCTTCGACGGATCGTCTCCCAAACAATACGATATTGCATTGTCGAGAGACTGCCACCATCATCTGCGGACGATTGGCTACGCGACCGACCCGTTGTCGATGGTGTTTCGGGAGGCGAGGGGCCCTTCTCAGACGGCGACTTCAATTGAAAGACAATCGGACGCAGTGTAGCGGGGACTGGTGCGCGCCGCAGGGTCACGAAACGTGGTGCGCACGACGTTCATGGTTCATTGCCACGACGGACTGCGGTTTTGGACGCAATGGCCGGCCACGAAGTGTCCTGCAGGATGCGGTTCATTAAACCAATGAACGGAGGTTGAAAAAATCGGAACACGCAATTACCGGCCAGATTTAATTACTGGCAATTACGGGGAAAAAAAATCACCCGCGAAGTATTCGACCGACCGAAGCGCGCAGACTACAGTACAGAATTATTGTTTTTTTTTTCCGGTAACTTCCGCGACTTCTCCGGCAACCGCGTTCCTTTAATAATGAAGGGGGGGCGTACTTCGTCGCGGGACCATGTTCTAACATTATTACGTCGGGTCGTAGGTGCGGCCGCGTTTGGATTACATTACGTTAAGATATTAGGTGCACGCGTCGGTTGGCGCACAGGATAAAAGCCGGTGCGTTACCGAGTACGCGTATCAATTTTGAATACTACGGTACTGGGAAAGGAAAAATAATCTATCGTTGTAACTTATAAGTTACGCAACAACAACAACAACAACAACACACGATACGGTTGAGCGTGTTCATAAGCAAACAGAACGATATCGGTCGATCACTTTCGTTCGCCGTACAGACCGCAGTATTCGGACGGGGCAACAACCGCTACCGATCGAAGTTACGCGCGACCGTACGAACAGTAGTCGACGACGATAATCGGCAAGTAGTGTTTGTCAGTGTTGGAAAAAAAAAACGAAGCGATTACAGTATTGAAAAAAATGATATTACCTAGGTGTCCTCGGAGTACGTGTGTTTTGCGGTCCCGTCAAACGAAACGGACGGGACACATCTCGCGCACAACACCGTTATTTATGACTCGGACGACGTTCGATAACAACACAGAACGATGCGATAATGTTCGATGATGATAGTAATTTTGTAAACGCGTGTAAAAACGGTCGGGGCGATCCGTTGTGCGGCGCACAGCGTGTGCGCGTACGAAATTAATAATAACACGGACGGAAAACAAATCACGTCCTACGCCCCCGACAGTTGGCGTCGACTACCGTTGCGTACACGTTCACATGTTACACTCGGGCCGATGTTGTTTAACACACGCGCGCGCGCACCGCCCGGTGTAACGCGCCGCGGCAAGGCATTTTTACGCGACATCGAAAACGCTATCTACGTGTAAAATTGAAAAATCAACGATTTCCAATCCGCTTTACAGTCGAACACCCGTATACGCGCGGCGAAAAACAATTATCAAAAAAAAAAAAAAAAAAAACAGATTATCCGAGGGAGAATAAAATCGATTTTAACGTGTTGTTGCTGTGTTTTTTTTTTTTTATTATTATTATTAAACGTTTTCACGGTTGAACAAACCGCGTGCGGTTCTCGACCCGTGGTATATTGCGCGCACTTAAAAGTATTTCTGGACTACATTTTTAATTTTTTAATCGCGTGTTGCGTTATCATACAGGTATCCGGTAAAAAAAAACATCGATCACGCGTAGAAATTCAATATTTTAAATACGAGATGCAACCACATGGGGCTCGTTCGTTCAGCGTAATAATGTGTGTATTGAACCGTCGAAAATCGGCGTTTTATCGTCTCCGTGTTAATATTAACAAACGTGTCTTGTAAGTCTTCGATGTTTTTGCTTCACCGATCATCGATATGCATGTATTTAATTGGGATAAAACTACACAATATAATAAGTACAATTTTAAAACTTTACTGTATCTTATACGTTTTTCAACTGTCTCGTGTACTATATTAGAAAGTACGCCACTGTTATCAGGGAATAAAGTACGTAAATTATGTTTCAATCGCTAATTAAAAATTGAGAGTAAACGGTTCACATTAATACAATTATTGAACGTATAATTATCACGACGTAGGTAAGTAGTACTGAATTTAGAAAAAAATAAAAACGTTTTCAGTTCGCAGGCCAAATGGAGTACTTACGATTTCATTACACTAATCTTTCATTGTTATTAAGTTATTCTACCATTATAAACAGTAAAATATGTTTGTAAACATAATAATATGAGATTATTTATAATTTTAGACTTTAAATTCTAACTTAACATAAACATGTTATTTCTACTATACGAGCATCCGCAGTAATATTGTGCATTTCACTATAATATCCAATTATAACATCATTTTTCTGAAAATGATCAGACATCAGTCCTGTATTATAATATGTGATGTAATAATTAGTAATATTGTATTACTAATTTTATTTATTATTAGTCGATATATTATTTTCTTTGTGGGAGCTCACAAGTTTAGCGAAATACACTTTTATATTTTTATGACGGCCAATTTTAATGCACACAGCATCAATAACTAATATGTCGTGGGATAATGCTACTGCAGGAGAGGAATACTAATCATTTCCGTAATAATTCATGACGTATAATAGCATATGAGCATGCAATAGTCTGTATTATTAAAAATGACATTAACCAACGAGTGATTGATGAAAAATAAATTGATTGTAAGACGTTGTCATTTCACACTTACTAAAAATATGTTCCAAACGGAACGCATAAAAAGGGAGAAAAATTAAAGCAACCAATGTGTATGAAAAAAACAAAATACTATGATTGAAAAAACTAATATAAAATTGTTACCATTGATAAGAACTATAATAATCTAGCGTTTTGGGGAGAAAAACATTATAAATATAATAACGGTCAGGGCATCAAAGGGATGCGGCATAAGGGGGATTATGGCCAGGGGCGGACTGGGTAGACACCGGCCCAGTGGGCAAATTTTGGAAAGTAGCCTAAAACATAAAAAATAGCTCTAACTGCATTCGAAAAATGTCCTATACACATTTTTTTGTTTTAGGTCGTTAGCTGATGCCTTCAACTCATTTCAACAGCATTTCTTTTAAATCAAAGTTTCTCCACTCTTCACTTAGATTTTTTTTGGTTTGGTTCAATAACAACTCAACAATTAAATAAAAATAAATTAATGAAATCGAACTAAATTAAACGTATGATCGTAATAATCGTATTTTAAATTACTTTATGTTGCGCATAGATGCTTAGTGCATACTGTCAACTGAAAAGACGTGACAATCACGGACTAAGATATTGATATTCTTATCTACCGATAATTTCCCTGCATCAGATTATTTATATACCATTCGTGTGAGTGCCGTGAGGTCGACTGTTATTATTATTATCCGACTACAATTTAATTATTAGCAATATTAATATTCTTTTAATATATATATATATATATTTTCGTTATACTTTAATACTTTATTGAATAAAAAATCTAAAATTATTATATTACATATCAGTATACGTTTAAAATTTGACGTTTTCATCTATTTGGGAGGGGGTGAAGTGAGTGGAGGGGAGGCATGAGTGTTATAATATTATCAAAATACATTAGTGGTGTTACTGACTATCTTTTAGGGAACCCGTGATTATTTGTTGCTTTTAAAATAGATAACATGAACAGCTACGTATTACCACGAGCTGGTTTGTGGTCATAACGGTTTATTTACAAAATGTTATAGGCCGTCGAATGAAGTAAAGGCTCACGTTATCTAAGTGATATCTACACAATTTATTGGTTTGTAAAAATACATATATTGTCTATCGTCCATAAATCTTATGTTCTTGTCTAGTAATTTTTCTGTAATCTGTTACTAAATACCGTACTGTTTATCTTTCACCACTTAAATAGTATTCAATAACAAAAAATACACAATAATACACAGAGCGGCCCAGTGGGCATTTGCCTACCTGCCCAGTCCGCCCCTGATTATAGCCCCGGGTCGTAAGTTGAAAGGGACCACAATATGCTTTATAATCATTGGCTAACAGATATAAAATATTGTTTTATCAATTAATCGTGATTATACTATAATATACAAATATACTATACTTATTTTAATTAATATTTATTACAAATGACTAAATCTGAATAAAAAAAAAATAAATTGTCTTAGGTGAAAGGGCCTTACCAAAAGTAATAATCCTCCTTAATCCATTAAGGATTAAACCGTATTAATGAATAAATCAAAATTAAATATGATTTACGAATGTAATTACACTTAAAAATTCACTGAATTGCTTTCTTATAAAATAATAATTGTAACATTTTATTATAAAATAATTTTGCAATATATGTCAAATTGGTAGTATTACTGAGCTTAGAGGTGCTAAACACTTCTAAGACCCTGTAGTATTAGACAATATCAACAATATACAATTTAGGTCACAAAATATGCAAGACACGTCAACAAATTTTTGTATATTAATTTTATAATAGAAAATAGTTAGTATAAGAAAATAATTGATTCAGAAAAATAGTAAATAATTAGATCAAGCAAGTTTATAAGAGAGAAAATAAACATTCTTCTATGGTAACTGAGTACTTTTTCTACTAAAGAAACATATACCTTATTTTAAATTGTCTCTTACTCAAATTATATTTTTGTGTCGATCTTTTCTATGGAGTTGTGTGAGACAGAACTGATTGATTATTTATTTTTATTTTGTTTTTATTAAAAATATATATTTTTCTGATGAATTGTATATCTTTTTAACTTTTAATTATTACGAAGAGTTATCTTAATAACTTCAGTATTAATTGTTTGACGGTAGCAACAATTAAAAGGTTGATGGTTTACAAAATACATACCCATAATACGCAAATTAATTATACATCTATTAACCATGTAAACATATCAACTACTTATCATAATTAAAATTAACATACATACAGAAATGGGTTTGGCGAAACGGGAATATGAATGCAATTTCCATCAATATATGCAATTGATTATGAAATATTTAATTTTAATTTTCATGTAAAGTTTACAGTTTTATTTTCGTTGATTAGAAAGTCAATAGTAATTAGTTAAAATTAATTTTTTACCTTTAAAAATTAACGTATTTTGATAGATTTCAATGATGTATTCTATTGCTACGAAACAACATCAGATACATATCATATAAAATACTATAAATATATGTACATTAATAAATGATTGATAATTAAAACACTTTTTCTCTCGGACAATTTTCTATAAAATAATTGTGGTTTCCAACAGAACTATTACCACAGTTCTTTAATATAATAATGATATTAGGTAGTACATTTATATAAGAACAATTTTTTAGCACGTGCTATATATACTACACACAACGTTATTGTTATCTTTCACAACTATCTTTGGAATGTGTCAATCGTTAATTAAAATTCAGTGTGAGATTTCATCGCGTGTGTACTATTTAATGAACTATGTTGTTGAGATATTTATTGTTTCACGACAATACCGTAATGTCGTTAACGTTGAGGTGTAAATAATTATACTCGTATAATTTTTTAATTGAATAAATTAACATTTAACAGGAATACTCTGCGAGTGCACGTAATGATAAATTTAGATTCTGAAAACGTGTTATCCCTGTTGCAGGTATTTGTGGCAATAATGCAATTCTAAACAGTGCAGTAGATTTTAAATACTTACCGCCAAGAAAAATAACACATTTAATAATAATATTAAACATTAAATGCGCGTGATAAATATAACAATTTTACATTTGGAAGCTCTGAAATGTAAAAACAGAAACGGCACACGGTCCACAGGTAAACATAGTCATTAAATCTAAGTATAAATAATTTTAATTAATGAGATAAATATAAATGCAGTATTAATCGTATGTATATGTTTAATGTGTGTATAAAATACAAACCAATACGGCAATAGAATCTTTAATACATTTTTTTTGTTTGTACATTTCTAATAAAGTTTTAACAATAGCTACGCATTATAATGTTTTTGCTGTTTACATGTTGAACCAAATATTTACTATACAAATTAAAAATTAATATATAATTTATATTAAATAATATACAGAACTAATGAATGATCATTAATCATTATCATTAATGAATTAATCATTAAGCTAAAAACGATACCAATTAATTCTCGTGGATAACCACGAATTCGACGATGAAAACAAATATATGGTAGAATTATAAGTGCACCACAGTGACTTAACGTTCCAAGGAATAATGAATATAATGGATGTGTGATCACTTTAAAGTTTCATCGGAGGTTTGTTTCATCGATAAAGAATAAAGGGCTGCGTGGGATAATGGTATATCTACCTATTAGTGTTCACTTCTTTTTCGGCTTCACGCTGGTCCGTTCATGAGGTAGTAGTAGCACTGTTGGTTTAATTCGTAACGGTTTACTTTTACTGAACATCATTAAGTCTTAGATTACCATATTCATATTAACACTTAAGGAAAATGCGCAAATCCACGACAGCCGGACACGTCTGTCTTTACACGTTCACCTCAACATATAGTTATCTTGAGCAGTAAACGCAAAATATCGAAATCGTGGCCAATATCGGTATATTATACCAACCTAACTTGCGGAGTACAATTTCAATTGGTCCAAAGATCTATAATGGATATTTTCAAGTATGCACGCGCACTCGCAACTCGTAAACTTTGTAATGCCACGGTACACCCACTCGTTTGCTGGTACCTGTACCACGAAAAGCCGGCGTCACATGTTAGTCGGCCGCGGATTGTCTAAACATTTTGGCCCGGGAAAATACCATATGACCGATTCACCATCCAATAATGATAATTTTTCATAAATTTCCTTTGTTCATGGATTAAATGCTTGTAGAATTGTTTGCATCAAGTTTACACTAGGTTTTTATCACAATATTACAATTAAATACAATGTACTTCAAAACATTTTTATAAAATAATTTTTAATTCAAATACATCGGCCCAGTGTCATAATACGACTACCGGCCCACCGGGAACTATTATCTCGGTGGCCAATCTACCGCTGAATATAACATATGTACGGTTCTTTTTCGGTGATTTCGTACACCTCTTATTCTTCCGTTCATCCACGCCGATGAATCCTTTTGTTCTTTTATGTACTTAGAACATTTCGTCAAAATTTCACTTACATATTTTTTTTCGTTGGGATATACGAAGTGGAACTCGCGAGTGCCCGCTTATCTATAATGCACACTGTAAAATATCGCCGAGGATATTTATAGTCAAAGGGGTTAACGCGTCCCGGCAAGGACATATGAAATGTTTTTATACAATATTATAATGTATACGGTACAATCGGTGCACTGAGTGGCGATGGCGCTGCAGGGCAGAAAACCTATGCCATAGCAGTACGCACCCATAGAAGCAAGTACATTTTTATGATATAATTTTTTTTTTTTTGTAATATAATTTATTTAGAACACATTTAGAAAAAATGTAACATAAAAGCAAAAAAAAGTAACCAAAATACCCTAAAAAGCATTAATATACAAAGAACGCAAAAATTAACGCAAATTAAACAATTTTTATTGTTTGTATTTAAATTCAATAGATAGGTAGAGACAGATGGATATTTTACACATTAAATGTATACAAATGCTGCACTATGTGCATTGTATTTTTATACTGATTAGTTGTTTTTAATAGATCTAACGCTATCAACCAAACACAATCATTAATATTTATTAATATTGTTGTACCTAGTTGAGTCCACTTATCATATAATTATTTATTTAAAAACCCTATTATCTCAATATAATAAACAAGTGAGTCTAGAACAATATTATAAATTAATAAATAATATATATATATATATAATTTAATATACCTGTGTCTATATACAGGTTGATTTTGTCTCTAGTGTTTCTGCATAACATTATAGTAGTAATCGTACATAAGAATCTTAGATTTATCCAACACTGCATAACCTGAAATTTTAATTAAGTTATATTTAGATAGTTATATATAATAATATATAGGTAACCATATAAATTGGTTTACAAAATTCAATAATTTTATTATCTATTGAGATCGCACACAAGTTTTCATTATATAATATTGCATACTTAAACGTAGGTTGGTTTATTAATTTCTGTACCCGTCGTTCGCTAGATACAAGTTCCATTTTTATCTTCTTTCTCGTGCTTTCAATCGTTTTTCCTAAATAATAATAACATTAATAATAATAATAATAATAATAAATATTAATATTAACTTACCAAAAACCGCATTATTTAAAAGTTTAAAAAATCTTTTTCAAATTCGTTGTCGCTTTTTTCCTCATCTCAGTATTCAATGCAATGTATGAGGCTAAACTAACCACGCTAACTGATCAAACTATATAACTGTATGTATTTCAAATATTTAAATGTTAAAAAAATATATAAAGAAAAAAAAACAAATGTTTACTTTTTCAATTACCAATCCGTTTTCTATAGCCTGTTGCAAATTGTTATAGTATATTATATAATTTTTCTTATGATGAAGTGTTGCCATAAGTTTTTTATTTTTTGAACCGGGTGGAATGCTATTTTGAAGAAGGAAAGGAATATCATTGAGCATGTCGTGGAGTTCTTTCGGGTATGATATGTCTACTTCAAAAATTCGATCAATTTCAGAGGTATATGTTAAAGTCTCTAAACCGTCTAACGTAGACTCTACCCATTTAAATCCACCATATGACATGTACCGCGACATTGCCCAGCCATATAAGTTATTATCTAGAATATATAAAATTATATTAAAACATATAATTATTAATAAGAATATTCACACGCACAGTCTTGATAGACTAGCCATAATTTTGGGTTTGTCTGGTTAAAATCTGGTATCTTCTTGTTATTTACTTTCGCGTACCGCTTACTTGCTTGCGTTAGACCTCCACGTATACCTATAATAATTAAAATTTTATATATTGTTTATGAAATAATAGTTAAATTACCTTTTTCGATTATTAACAACATATCGTAGTCCGTGAGCAGTTCTAGTTTGATGTTGGTATATTTTAACATTCAGTCAAAGCTGAAACCTGGTGCTGTGTAGTAAAAGGCTAAGTGATCCAAAATTGGAATAAGATCCAAGTAGTACGTAGTTAAACATAGATCACGGAAATTTTCAAATATATCAGTCAAACAAAAGCACATCAATTTTTAAATACAAATCCCTATATTCCCCTAACGTTTTGAATTTGAAATGTTCCCAAACTCTTTTAGCGTGTTCATATTTTTCGCTTTTAATCCCAGACTCATTCAACGTGTTGTAAAAATTTTCTTCTGATAGCAAATTCATTTGATCAAGCTTGGCACAGTATCAGTAAATTCATTAAGATATACACCTTTAAGAGTTACTAACATGTCTTCGATAGTGAAATGTTTTGCAGTCTCTCTAAATTTTTCAAGATTAGAGGTAATTAAATTTGGAACAAGTTTGGATAAGCTTGTTGCCATACATCTATGCGTATCAATAAACCGTATAAAGAACTTATTGTAAATATACTTAGAAAAAGACATAAACTTTTCTAAGTTTTTTTTTTTTTTTTATTAGGTAAAGTAATCTACAATCTATACAATTATTTGTGTACAATAAGTAGGTGGGATATAGGAATATAAAATGAATGTGAGTTGATTTGAATATGGGAGATTACCCAGTGGTAACACCCAGCACGTGAATTTGTTTATGTATGGTCATTTTTTTTTTTTTTCTGTGTTAGGATAGGAGATCCCTACACCATTTCCTTTTTAATCGTCGATGGGGGTTATCGGGAAGTGTTTTTGTAAATAGTTTTGTGATTAGGGGGTTTGTATGTGAATGAAGTTTAGTGTAGAATTTGGTGTAATAAATTTTAGAAATTTGATTTAAGGAGTGAATTTTGAGGTCTTTATGAAGATTATTATTTGTTATATACCAAGGTGCAGAGGAAAGGAGGCGAAGGCAAATGGATTGAAAGGCTTGAATTTTTCGTGTATTGGAGGGTTTTGCGGCACCCCAAAGTTGAATGCCGTAAGTCCATAGCGGTTTAAGAAGGGATTTATAGATTATTAATTTGTTGTTTATGTTCATTTTCGATCGCAGAAGGGGTCTTAATAGATGGAGACGGGCATTTAAAGCTTTTCGTTTGAGTGTTAGGTGGGCATTCCAGGTAAGTTTACTATCTAAAGTAAGGCCTAGGTATTTGACTTCTGAGCAGGTAGGGATTTGAATATTGTTCATTGATACATGTGGGCATGTTGCTTTTTTGTTTAAAGTGAAAGTTATGTGGGAGGATTTGGATTCATTAATTTTAATTTTCCAACGTTTTGTCCAAAGATGTATTATATTAAGGTGTTTTTGTATCATGTTAGAGACCATAGCTGGATTCACGTTGGAGGCCACAATTGCTGTGTCGTCAGCGTAGGTGCCAAGTTCTGTGTAGGGTGTTTTAGGGATGTCATGGGTGAATACGTTATATAGGAAGGGAGCGATATCGCTGCCTTGGAGAACTCCAGCTAAGATACTAAAGTATTTAGATATGCTTGAGTTTTGGCGTACAACGAAAATGCAGTCGGTTAGGTACGATTTTAACAGAAGAAAGTAAGGTGCAGGCAAGAATTTTCTTAATTTAAATAGTAGGCCGTCAAACCAGACCCTGTCAAAGGCTTGTGACACGTCAAGAAAAACGGCTGCACAATAGTGTTTCTTTTCTAGTGAAGAGGATATAGTGTCAATTACTCGGTGCAGTTGATGTATAGTCGAATGTTTCATCCTTTCTGGAATATCCCGAGAGCGTGAAGTTATATAGAATGGGATATTTTTCTACTTTTTCCACCAACTTTAAATTAATTTTTTGTTCGTTCATTTTTATACAAATAACAAATTTTTACAATAGGTAAAACAAAATAAGTTTCGTTGAGCACCAAAATATTAAAGTGAGAAAACTCAAAAGTGACTCGACAGTTGAATCACTCGGAACTTATCACTAACGCGTTAGTAACTGGTTAGTAACTAGTAGCGCCGTCTGTTATGTTCCATTGAATAACATAGGTAGTGAATACGGGGACTAGTTAGTGATTCGCGTCAGTATTTAGTTTCAAATGAGTAGCTCCGTGTGTAGAAGGCCTAATATTTAGGCAATTCACATAACATGAACATTTGGGCTATGTCTATTTGTGAGTAATAAATGAACATTAGTGTGGGTAATCAATTATCGCGTGCCTCAGACTATCGGTTAACAGTATTATGAATTCCCAGAACTACGTATAATTAAAATGCTATAAAAATGCCAATATATTATGTTCAATTGCGCGCGTTATCTTTTACTATTATCAACTTGGCTGCCATGAGACCCGATTTGGGGTCTCACAAACTTTTACGTGGCTGCCACAAGTTTTTACAGCAAACTTTTCAAAAATGATATGGTACTTTACTTTATTATTTGATATTGAAATTTTACAGTTATTTTAGTGACATAAAATAAAAGAGTTTAGACAGGGTTTTGGATTTTTAGGACGTGAGATCTCATATTGTGTCTCATGGCACTGGGGGTTGATTTTTTGATTGTTTTGAAAATAACCATCTTACTGAGATTCAATATGAGATCTCAAAAACTTTTTTTTATTTTAACTGAGATTCCATTACAGATCTCAAAAATATTATTTTTATATAGAACCATTTGCTATCATAAATGTAAATAAATATAGTTGTATAAAATTTGAATTTTCTGTATATACTATATAATTAAGAATTAACCTGATTAGGTATTCATCTAAAAAGATAATTTCGATAATTAATTCATCGTTTAGATTCATAATAAAAATTTCAAACATAAACTCATAAACATATAGTAAAGAATAACTTAAACACTTTTAGTGATATCAAATATCAACCATCAATCATTATTATGGTTTAAACTTTAAAATCACTGTAGACATATTATATACACAACTTTTTGTTTATATATGTCTATGAAAATCACAGAATATGTTAACATTTATCAACCTTATCAAAATAATAATAATATATAAATTCATCGAGGTATAATACCTCGATGAAATAGTATAACATATGATATTTGCGTAGTAAAAGTATATAGATTAAAAACAACATAACTCCTTCAAAAAAATTATTTTTCGTGTGCTAATGATACTGGCGTGTGTTGGTCACACTGTAGAATGTAAATGCACTACAATAAACCCGATAAATTAGATTCCTAAAGAGATATCAATTTTCTAAAAACATATTACCTGAGATCCCAAATAGAATCTCGTGGCAGGCAATTGAAGTTTTGGTGAGACCCCATATAGGATCTCGTGGCAGGCAATTGAAGTTTTCAAAAAAATACGTGGCAGTCAAGTTACCTACTCACTACTCAGCTTTCGCTGCAATTCGCAAAAATGTACAATTACATTATACTACACAAGAGAATCACTTTGTTATTTCATAGTTATTAACTATTACATTACTTAACTTTTTTTATACAAATAAAACCATTTAAAAAAGTAGTATTACAAACCATCCCCGATAGGAAAAGGAAACTCACGTTCATATAATAAATCAATTAATTCTAAAACCATGTAACCAAGGAAAAAAGTAAAAAAAAATTTTTATTTTCAAAATATTTACCACATTATTTTACCAATATTAGAAATTTCAAATACTATACATTGAAACATGAAGTTCAATATAAATTATAAATTAATATTTAAGTATATTATTATAATAATATCTTTAAAAATTTAACTATGAACTGTATTATCGTAATTATTGATAATACACTGTATGGAATATGAATTTAAATTATGATATCCATGACGTATTATCGTATAGGTACCTAGGTAGATAATATGTTTAATGATACAACAATACTTTTGTATATGATAGATACAATTTAGAGTAAAAGTCAGCGAGACAAATAAGAAATGACAAACACAATTAGTATATTCACGTGTATAAATTATAATAATATGAAATATAAATATATTAAAGATTAAAATAAAAGTATTTGTGCATTTATTGCCTAAGGTTTTCTTTGATTAAGACGGGTAAAAGATTTTCTAAATAAAACGTTTTAATTTTACTTTCCATATTATTTTTCCAAAAATTTATTTTAGGTGCACTTAACTTACGTCTAGCTTTTCTCCCATAACGCCAATCTTTACCCATTTAGTAAAAAATTAAAAAGAACACAAAACTTACAGATAACCTTACTGATCGGCGTGTTATGTTGAAATCAAATGATTCATAAATCATAGGTAGTATTATTATATTTTGTATTTCCTTAAAATTTAAATATATGTAGGTTGTATTTAATTTGGAAAAATATAATTATTATTACTGACTATTATTATTGTCGCCCATTAGTAATGTTCTATAACTATCCAATAATCCTTATCGGCTAATTGTTTCCGACTTTCCGAGAATCTATCACGGCCCGTCGGCAGCCGCGAGCCGCTGCGCCGCCGAAATAAACTATTGCACGCGCAGGCACATGTCAATACTTTACGAAAAATAAAATATATTCATGTTGGCAATGCTATAAAAACTACTAAAAGCGGTAGTAAATTAAACATACTTCCTGAAGTCCGATTGTAATTTTGAAAATATGGTTGAATATATAAACTTTTAGACTATGCTCTTTAGGAATCACTTTTTTGATTTAAAATTAGATGTGCCCAAAATAAATACAAATGTAATGCAATTATTTCATGAGATTTTTGAAAAAAAAAATCGTTATTTTAAGGTCCTTTAAAATTGAAAATTGAAAATCGACTTCCTAAATAACTTAGATATTTTGTCAAAGAGTTCATACATGTATAAAAAGTTAAAATCGGACATTCCGAAGTATGTGTAATTTACTACCGCTTATTGGTCTAAAACGCACGAAAAATACGTCTGCTGCGTTCCCCTTAAAAAAAAATGGAGCACAACACACGAGTGTCGCGCAGTAAAATTACGGCGCGATATTTCGAAAACTGTCGCGTGTACCTTGACTTTACCGTGCGTTAAAAATATCGCGCGATAGGTATTTTTTGTTAATATGCACTGAATTAAACTAGTGGCCTCACATTGGCCATAATAATCGCGCGACAGTCGGACGGTTTATTATTTATCATTGATAATAGTAGTCGTGTTTGTGATACTAACCGCGCGTTACATGCAGTAAAATGTGGCGCTGTAAAATAACGCTAGTGTGTTGTCAGCCATAAATCCGAGCATACGTACAAATAATTTTATAATAATGGTACAGATATAGATAGATATTAATATAGCATGCAATGAGCCATGCCTAGCTATTATTGTTGTTATTACTATTATATATTATAAAAACCTGTTATCGCCACAATGCCGGAAAGTACCGCCCATATAAAAATAGCATGGAACGAAAAATGAGACTCACAAAACTGCACTTTTAGCTCTATCTCTCTTGCACTCCGCATACAGCCGACGTGTGCGAGTGAGAGATCTGAGCACCGAGACAAAACCTAATGTACAAGTCTCGCTATCGGTCGATTTGTGTGTTTGTGTTTCTTATGCACAGAGAGGAGTCTCTAGCGAGACTCTTCGATAAACGTATTAT